TCTCTCTCTCTCTCTCTCATTTTGCCTCTTTGCTTAGTCTCTGCCCTGTTCCTTTGCTTTCGCTTTATCTGCGTCTTTCCAGCTGCTTTGTTGCTGCCATGGCAGACATACAATGAGATAAACAGGCACATGGAGACTCACACACACACACTCACAAACAAACACACTCATACATACAAACAAAAAGGTGCACAATCAAGCAGAAATATGATGTTTAAGACCCAGCTGTGTGTACTTCTATTTTCATCACACCTGTGGCGGTGTGTGAGGTATTGAGGCAGAATGAGAGATTTAGAACAACAGATGAACATATACCATATAATGTGCAGTATGTGTGGTGTAAAACACACAAACACTATAGCACGATGTCAATGATCAGTTCCTCCACTTTGATTGAAGGTGTGCTAATCAGTGAGATGAGTTTCTGTAGCGGTTGGATGTGTGTATATCACTGGGGTTATGATGGCACATGATGAAGAGCCACTGCTATAGATGGATGATTTGTTGCATCAAGCTAATAATAGCTTGTGCTGTGCTGCCTCTCTACCTGAAGTGGAAATGAAGAATAACGGGAAGACAACTCTTATGTTTGACCTCTGCTGATGAACAGCACTTTGATTGTAGGAGATTATGATTTGTGTTAATTAGTGATGTGTGTTTTTAATGGATGTTCTTTTGGGCTGTCAGGCTGAGATATGTAGATTTATATTCCATCCTAGTGCTTCATTAGCTAGCAGTTGCACCTTGAAGACAAACCCACTGGTTGGGGCTGATAGATTAGCTAACCAAAATAGTTGTCAGTTGATTTCCATTTATTCCTAGATAAACTATTCCTGTCCTGCCAATTCAGTCATACATTTTACTCATATTTATAAAAGTTACTTTTCTAAGCAAAAGAAAGATCAGAATCCACTTGCTGTATAAAAAACAACATACAATACAGTATGTAGTTCACTAATTTCTGTCATCATTGCTCCAAACATCAAGTATCACACTTAATAAAGGCTCCTGTTCATTCAATCATGTTAAAACTAACATTTATATGTATGTGCTAATTTACTACTCGAATCAGCAAGGTGAAGTTTGCCCTTGAGTACAAAATTCCTAATTAACATTTTATTATAAAACATAATTCGCGCAAGTTATTCATTTTGCCCTTATCAGGGCTAATTTGATCATGAGGCTCATTTCACTGATATTGTTCCTTTGATTAATGACATTAAAAAATCCCAGACATTAGTGTGCATTAAGTGCTGGGATGTGAATGCGGGTAAGAATCCTTCACTCACCCTCTTGGGTCCAAAGAGGTTGTGGTATAGAGTTCTGAACCTCTTCCTGGTGTAGTTACACCGATATGCCCCGCCCATAAGATATTCAATGACCAGTCCAATGTCGATGAGGCTGATGCGGTAGTCCGGGGGCAGGTTTCCCTACAAAACCAGACAGTGTTAACACGCAACAACCCATGCCAAATGATTAATAATGGAGGGTAAACAAGAGGGAGAAAAAGAGTACAAAACAAATCACACAGTCATACACGCTCACTTCACAATATCCATATTAAACTGTTTTGGGCTATGAAAGAAAACGTGATTATCGGATTCACCTTGAAGTAGATCCAACTGAACCCTGGATATTCTTGCTTGGAAAGAACACACAATGTCAGTGAGTAAACGTCACGATAAGCAAGAGCAGGGGAAATGAGGAACTCCAAGGCAAGATCTCTCTTCCAGCCTCTTGATGATTTTTTTTATCTCAACCAGACTGTGGTTCGGTTTATGTTGTTGTATCTTGAATTCTTTAAAACCAGGTGGACTTTGGTTTGAATCTAGAAACCTGGAGATCCTCCAATCTTGTAATTGGTTGAACCAAAAATTGGTCACAGTTTCAGGTTTCAGATATTACTCCCAAGCCCTAAGGTACAACTTGTTCTCTTATTGAGGAGCAGGAAATGAGGAGAAAATGAAAACTCAGGTGCAAAATGATTCACAGAGAGAATATAATGTCTGAGGACAATTACAAAGGATGTAAAAAATTGATTGATTAGTCATAATTTGCATTTAGGGAAATAATGAGATTCTTCTCAGTGAGGTTCAATGTAGTCTTGAAGAGAGGAAAAGAAAAAGAAAGTGGTAATGTCTCATTAGCCTGGAAGAGAGGGGCAACCGCATGGAGAAACAGACAGACAGCTATTAACACTGGAGGGGAAAATCATTATTGAAATAAAAGTCCTTTCACGTGAGGACTATAACCATGTCAACACTTGCTGCTCCTCATCATGCCTTCAACACCCACCCAAGATCCTGCAGTCATTATCCTGACCCCTGCTGTTCCTTTGAGCTACACCAATTACCTCACATACCTCTACACCTCCCTTGATGCCATCTACACTCCTCTGCACTCAGGTGTGAGATCCTAAAATCCTTTCTGTCCTACTCATCCATAGCCTTCACATCCAGAGATTCAATTTCACTGGTGGTAAAGCCTGGCAAACCCTTGGAGGCCAACGGTTACACTTTGAAGTAGAGGGAGCCACAGATAGTGTTGCCAAAGCTTCACATCCTCATGCTACTGATATATATAGTTCAAATGCACTAGTCAGCGGTCAGCCGAGCCCTCTTTTAATTCCCTGTAGTGGTGAAGCTCAAGCTAATAACTGTTTGTTTACACCTTGTGTGAATACACTTTGAGAGCTTAGAGCACTAGAGGTTTTAATAGGGAAGATGCTCTACTCAAAATGTCTCTTTCCTGCCTGCACACATCAAAGCCCTGGCATTAACTCCAACTAGTTAAACAAATAGAAGTTTTTGTATCTGTGTTATTTTTTGGCAAACTTACGGAAGCTCACCAGATTATCACAGTGAGACAAAATTTAAATGTACGATGCAATATACACTCAAAAAAGTCAGTGTTTCTTAACCAAGTACTCATGTCTGAAAGCGCCAAGTTACATTTGGATTTTCTCCTAACCGTTCCTAAAATCTGAGATTCATGTGTATTGCTACCACCCTTGGGCCACAAAACTGCATTGTTCATTTACTCTGTAGGAAACCCAATTTCTGCTATGGCAGCTGTAGTTCAAAAGCCCATTTCAGTGGTTTTCTGTTTCATGACTCAGTTTTCACACAATTTAATGAATGGACCAGATTGAACCTGAGAGCAACCTCATACAGCTTCTAACAGCTGTAAGCACAACACCTGCATCTGAATCAGCCAGTTGCTGACAGTATGCCCAAACAATCTACAGAGAAGAATGAGAAATCAAGAAAACGGCGATGACATGGTGACTATACCCGAAGGAGAGCAGTTAAAACTAATTAGCACCATACTCTGATACGACGACATACACAAACACTCAGCTACACTATGGCAATTACACACAGCTCTACAAAAAGAAGATGGGGCTGTTATGCCATGCACTACAGTGTGTGTTTGTGAAATGTAAACTGTACATTCTCTCTGCACCAACTTAAGATCAGAGTTGTGTTTAAAGACAGAGAGGGGGTAAAGGAGGAGTGATTACAACATCAAGCCTCTTCAGCGACTCCCAGAGGAACATGCGGCATTACTGTAATCAGTAACACTTTAATTAATGAACACCTCTCAATGCTAATGTTGGTGTTGCTGACCTCTCCATCATCTCTCAACAGCGGGTTCACTCCTAATTGATGTGCAGACATGTGCTGACTGTAAAATTCTAGGTTGGTGTCTTTAATCGCAGTAATCATCAAGGTGCTATAGGAGATATGTTGCAAAAATAATGAACACTGCATAGTGCTGACATTTGTTGGCTTAAGTGCAGCCACAGCCTTTACTGAGAGATGATTCCAGCATTGCAACGTCTTAAACATGAAAATAACACAATCCTGATAAAAAATTATGTTTATTTCATGTAAGGAAATATGCAGTTTCACTAAAAAGAACCAGATGCTACTGCATATCAAAAACAACACACTTAAAAGTGTTGTTCATAATACAAAAAAGAAATTAAACAATTGTGGGCGTCTACTGAGTTCTTCCTTCTCAGCCTCACAGCAGTTCCACTGCGGCCCCAGTTTGATCAAACTCAAGTTCTGTGGATAAAGCAATGTTTAATACATGTAGTGTTTGTTTACAATGGTAGTGTGCCTGAGAGAAAGAACAGAGTAAATTGCTAAAAAGTCATGAGAGGGATGTGAGTCGTGCATAGCTCTACACAGCCACTGCAGCCCGCAACTCCAGCTGAAAGAGAAAAGCCGGCCTCTATTTGCAGTTAACAGCAACTAGGGCTACCAAAGATGTTGACACAAATTGATGCAAACAGATAGAAAAAAAAAAAAAGCAACTGAAACTCTATGTAGTCAAACATCTTCTTTAATGTACACATTCAAGCCAACATTCCCATACATGTGCCTGAACAGCCAGAGAGCTATGGGGACGGCAGTGATGCTCATACCTTTTTGACATCTCTGACAAGGTGGTACAGCGTGTTGGATGGTCCATGTCTCTGTTGGAAAAACAAACAAAACAAAACACAGAAGGATATTACTATCACTGACAGCATCTACAGTCCCTTAGGACGAAGCTGACCCTGCCTGCTATAATGTTCAGTACCAGCACCATGTTTATTGTGTTCAAATCCTAACTGCTATTTCACCAGTCCCTCCAGGATTTTACAGGCTTTTTTGGGGGATTGTTGCAACCTAAAATGTCTGATTTAATGGCAGCTTTTCTAACAAAATTGCAATCCATGTTGCAAAAATTTGTCATATAAAAATATATAAAAAATCAAAGCCAACTTGTTCCAGTAAGAATAAAATTGTGGTGTTGGAGTAACCTTTCCAAAAAGACAAAGGGATTATGAGGGTAAATGTTAGGCATCTGCATCTTCATAACTAGAAACAAAGAAGTGAGTCTGATGATGTATGGCTCAGCGTTTTGTGCAGGAAACTACAATGACTGGTCATCTTTGTGGAAAAGTTGCAATGATTGAACAAAATTGCTTTTTTGGTTGAATTTGCATTCATTGTTGTTGTTAACTTGTAAATATATATTTATGTGTCTGTTTTAATTGTGTTTCCTTGTTTCTAATGTGTTGTCTTATACTATCCACATAGTTTTGGGGGCTGCAACTTCCGTAGTGGCTCACGCTCTCTGCGGCGCATTGGCATTAAATGTGCTATGTAAATAAAGGGCTTGTTTGCTTGCTTGCGAATAAGCTTTTAATCAACATTTTACTTTGAAACTCATTATCGCAAATATTTGCCAATGGGGCTGCTCTCTGGTGTGTTGCAAATGAGATAATACAACATATATTTCCAATCCGTTTATGTGTATTTGTTATTACCGTGTTGTAGAGCTCTTCCAGTCTGGAAAGCGTGAGGAAACGGTGCATGCTGACTCCATTTTCAATCAGCAGCTTGACAAAGTCCACTCTGTCCAGAACTAAGGCATCCAGCATCGCCTGCTCTAGAGAACCGACCTAAGGCACATGACACGGAGAATACATATACTGACCATACCATACACAGCACACACTACATACTACAAACTATACAGAAGGCACTGCAGGGAAATAAATAAAGGTCAAGCACAATCAGTTACTAAAACTACAACAGCACTATTATGATAGGATTTCAAACGTAATATCTACTTGAATACTCATATGTTATATACCTTTTTCCACAGAACACACATAGAAAGAAAAGTGAGTTGAAATAACATGCTTAGACATTTTAGCACAGTATCAAATTATACAATTCCAGAACTGCAAGGAATGCATACTTTTCATTATGGTCACAGATAATTACAGCAGTCCTTAATTTATTATAATTATTATTGATCATTAACCATTTGTGTGTTGCTGAACTTTCACCTGTGATTAATCCTGAGCTGCCTTCTGCTTCAAATTGCCTTTTAAAGCGGACAGTATCCTTTCATCTGCCGTTTTCACTTTCTAACCACTTTTACAGAAAGATATTCTCTTCTCGTCTTCAGATGGTAGAACGGGTCGTCCATTGATACAGGGTTGCCAGTTCAACACTTCCTCACCACATTTAAAGCTGGTAGCTTGCTGCCATTGGTGTGTGAGTGTGTGCATGAATGGGTGAATAAGTAGCAAAAACCTTGTAAAGCACTTTGGATAAGCAGGGTAGGTAAGAGGTACGGTACCATGCTAGACTGAGGCACACTGCCAATACCTTCATGCTAAAAGACCTATTTAGGCAGTGCAGTATAGCATAATGTTAATATCAGTGAGAACACAAAAAGAACAAACAAGCCCTGTGAATACAATCAATATTTCCTGCAGTATGTATATTCTTGTTTGTGCAGTACTGTTTATGGTTCTTACAGGCCACTGCTGTCCGTAGATGAAGATTTGACTGCGGGCGATGTCCACTCTGTTCCACGCCAGAGCCAAACTCAGCTGGTCAGGAGCTGAAGCGTTGGCACCTGAGAGAGGATGCACACGCGTTGAGAGACAATGTCATATTACCGGACGGCAAGGTTTATTTAACGTTGAGATATATCACATAATAGTATGCTGTAGTTGTTAGATATAGTGATGTTGATAATAGTCTGTCTCTATTGCTTATTTTATATTCTCCTTATGTGCTTATAGTCTTATTTTCTGATAGTTTTGTTGTAGAAAATGTACAGGTTTATTTTTATCTTAACTTAGAGACATCTATGGAAAAATATATTTTTTGCTAAGTTATATAGGAGTATGGCCTGCTTTATTTTAAAAGTGTCCTGAGATAACTTTTGTTATGAATTGGTGCTATACAAATGAAACTGAATTGAAATTGGACAGTGAGCTCACACAAATAGGGTTATGGTGTATATCAATGTATACATACCATAACCTTACGGGGTCATATAGACAGGAATAATGACAGCACATTAGTGATTTAGGAGTTTAGGAGGCCTTTGGGTAGGTGCTGTTGCAGAACCTGTCTGTTCATGGTTCGAATAACTTTCAGTGTTTTAAAAGAAGGAAAGGAAGTTAAAAAAGACGGTTAGCAGAGAGAGAAGAAGCTCTGAGAATCCTGGGAGTCACTGACGCCCACTAATGATAGCCAGCCGCCTTTATTGAAGGTTGAGGGCATCATAGTGGGCTTAATCTAAATTCAGGCTTGGTGGATTGTGCTTCACTTTACAATGTGCCAGTTCTGCTCCTGCCTTGTTCTGTGTGTCGGTAGAGAAGAAGATTTCCACCCATTAAAGAATGACAGCTTGTTATTTGATGTATCACTTAATTTAACGCTCCACCTGATCCCTGCATAAAATGTAGAATGCAACCGTGTTCCTTTTATTTGCTGTGTCTGTGAACATCATTTACAGTGCTCTGGTCTTCTAGTAACATCAACATGACTGTAACATAATCAGCAGAAGAAGAAGAAGTACAGTACATACACACACGAGAAAAAAACTGAAAACAACAACTGATCAAAAAAGTGGAATTCTGGACAGATCTGATTTGTTTAATATAATACTGGATGAAGTAGAGGCAGGAAAAAAACATCTTGTTTACAAGATTCAAGGGCACACTGACAAATAAGGATAAAATAAAAGTATTGGATGACATTGCTGAAAAAAGGCCACTTCTCTCATCACTGTGATAGCTTTGCTGCGTGTCATTGCTGTTTGTTTAAGGACAGACTGGTGGGTGTAAATCAGCTGAGAGACTCACAATGCAGGGCTGGTTCCTTTGTTTGGTGTTTTTCTTTTGTTAATTTGTGATCTTCTTTGTGGTCCCGCTCAGAAGGTATTGACGTAACCATCTAGATTTTTACTCCTAAATATCAAAAGTGATTAGCCTCGTTGAGCCTGCAAGTGGTTTGGGAGGTTTAAGACCGGATCTGCAAACCCCTTACATTACCAGATAATCTGGGTCAAACATCAGTACCAACCAAGGTCCCAGACAAGATTGATCTCTGGTCTGAGCCCGGCCTTAGTTTATTATTTATTTTAATTTATTCACCCTGAAATGTAAAAAGATCTTTATGATGGATTTTAGGATTCATCTTAGTCTAAAGACACTTATGAAATGGGGCCTAGGCATGTATAGTAATACTTCTTACTCTAGGTATGAGTGAATATGTCTTAAATACTTAATATAATGGATAAAAACCTCAGACACAGAATAAAATGAAACAATCATCCTCTCCAACTGTACAATCCAAACCTTCACTGTAAAAGTGCTACAAAAAGCATTTGTAGCTGTTCAGTGTAGTGAAACACCTCAAACACCGTTGACTACTTAGATCTTACATAAAACCACCCCTTTAATAATTTACCTGTGCACTGAAGGGAGTTACCAAAAATGAGAAATATAAAGCAACATTTCACCTCTGCCTTTAGAGAAATCCGGTGTAATGTATAGTAATAATCCCTTGTGTTTAGACAAGACAGTGTATTTTTTTTATTAAGCACACCACTATCATCACTTTACATAGTGCTCTGCCCTCCTCAAAGGCCTGTGCAGCTTTGCTGGAGCTTAATGTTCAGACAGAGCCCTGCTAATAAGATGCAGAGCCTACTAATAAGAGCTTTAGTGGAGATATGTGTATATTAAAAGGCAGGGTGGCCTTGCTTTATGAAATGCCTGTGGTTTCACTCAGTCTGCCTGCAGGGGGGTTGAACTGCAGCCAGCTGACTTTATGGACCCAATCTTCAGTATATTGACTTCCTCAGACAGCAGACCATCAATTACTCCAAACTCCCCTCTGTTACACCATGTGTCTTTAGCTGCGGTTACGTTCCTGCTCTGTCTGTTCCCACTTCTATAAATCTCTCTCTCTTTCGCTCACACAGGCTCACACACTCTATCCTTTCATTCTGTTTTATTTCTTCATCTCTGTTCTCCCCTAACCTTGTATTCCTGACTGTGCTGCACGTTGTTGAGCTTCAGGCATGAACTTAGTTCTTCAGCAAAGGAGTCTAATCCAGTGTTTTAAAAAGCTCTCAGGCAGGATGTGACTGATTTCATTTTACACTAAAAGCCTAACACGTCTCATTCACTCAGCTGCAAAATGAGACTTGCATGATGATGACCCTCATGCTGTTTACCATAAAGCTTTTTTTGCCTCTCATTTTTCCCCCTCTCATCCTTTCACTTCTCTGATCCCCTTCCTTTTCATTTACCTTTTCCTATTTTGTCTTCTTTGACTGCAATTCCCTCCTTCACTCATTCATCTACATGCCATTCCTGTCACAATGTCAATTAAATGAATACAATAAGGGCAAAAAAGAAAACAGAAACGAAAGACAGGTTAACAGAAGTCAACAGAATAAACAAGTGAGACATGTATACATAAGGAAAGTAACAGAGCAAGAGATGAAGACAAAGATCAGGGAGTGATGAATTGGCCAAAGAAATCATTCATCTTGACTGCTATACATAAATTATGTAAAACACGTTTCTCTTTCGCTCACTCCCTCTCCAAACTCACTAGTTTTTCTCTCTGTGGAATGAAATATTTCTCTGAGGAACAATTCCTGCCATAGTCAATCATATGCTCTGAAACTCCCACAGGACTCACTTCCTCTTCGTACACATGCACGAGTGTGTACCTTTCTATGTTCACATGTATAGGTGTGTGTTGAAGGGAGTGCATGCGTGCAAACTCCACTGGGCCTTGTTAGCGTCGTATTCCTTGAAGAGGCAAGAGCAAACGTGATCAATAGAAGCTACTGAACAACCAATCGAAAGTATGGATCTATGAATCCTGTGTGTGTGTGTGTGTGTGTGTGTATGTGTGTGTAGAACACTGACGTGTGAAATAGGGCAGAGGGTGGGGAACAATGGTGGTTTAATTGCTATTTCTACACTTGACAAATATTAAATTTTTGTAACCCAATTTGGTCCAGTTCATTGCCTTTACTGTTAATTGCATAACAATTTGTTACAATGTAAAGATCTGCTGACCGTATATCTTACTGTGTAATGCCTTTGGTCTGTGCTGCTGGTACCATGCTGATTGATTATTGTATGTTATATTGTATATGTGGAGGGGGAAACCTAGATACATATGAGCCTTTAAATCACCACTAGCTTGTCTAAAGCTATTACTATGTCTGTGTATAGTTGCAGATTGCACTTAGAGCCAGTGTTCAGTTTGTCCTTTCTGGGATACTATAGAAACATAGTGGTTCAAAATGGTGGACTACATAGAAGGCGTCTGTAGATAAAAACGGTTCATCATGCTATGATAGAGAGTATATTACATTATGAAATCTCAGCTTGGTTTGGTAAAATATCAGTTAAGTTAAAATCACATATAAGCAGACTGTGCCAAACAAAGCAATGGAAGTGATCGGGGTTATGGAGCATCCCTCCATCTAAATGCTGTTTTAAAACACTATAGTTACAACTATTGCTGATGCCTCCATGGCCTGTATTCAGAATACAAACTGTTCCCAACAGGTAGACACTACAGGGTTCCAATTAAATATGGGAAAAGATACCTCAATAGGTATAAAAACTTTTTCATACCTCTATCAGTGACTCTCCTAAACTATGAGATAATGAGGGTGTGAAATGAGGGGCTGTGTTGCATGTATTTGAATGCACTTATGTCTGCACTTTATGTCTGTTACTGCACTATGATTGCATGTATTTAACATTTTTTTATGTTTATGTTTTATTGTTTTACTTAATGGCTTTTTATTTGTGTTCCTTGGTACATAGGCTCTTTTATTTATTTTACTTTATTTATCTTACTCTGCTATTTTGTAAATGAGATATCTACCTCAATGTATTTCCGAGTTCAAAAAAGGTTGAATGTTGCAGCCTTCATGTCCAAAACAAATTTCTCTATGGCTGTGGAATAATAGCACATAGTTGGCCGTATGTCCCTTTTAAAAGTGATTATTGACCTCAAAGGGAATTAATTCGATAAATGCAAATTAAATTGTAACATATACTTCAAAAGAGATTTGATTAAAAGACACAATACTACAGAATTCATTTGTGAATTTGTGACTGTACGTGTAGTACGTGTAATTATTTCTCTCTGGCGACACAGTTAATGAGCAGCTGTGTTCATGCTAATTAATTATACTGCAGGTGTTGTTATGATATCAGGGTTTTATTAGCATATAAATTAGCAAACCTGAACTCACTGCGAGTTTGTCTTAAACGGCTTTAATAGCTGATAGGCCACGACCTTCTCATATTTAAAGGAATAGTTCGTTTTGTGAAATACACAAGTTGGATGAGAAGTACAATAAATATGTAGCTAGAGCCTGCAGTCAGTTACCATAGCACAATAATCTGAGACAGAGGGAAACAGCTAGCCTGACCAAAGGTAACATTATCTACCAATCAGCACCTCTAAAGCTCACTAATTAAAAAGTTAGTGGACCAAGCCAGTGGCTAATATTATATTATATTGGACAGCAATAAGAGGACTCAGTAACTCGGTTTCTGCTAAAACTGTAAGAAAGAAATTGTTTGATAAGCTAATATAACGTCAAAACTCAATCCTGCAAGTTTGCTTTGGAGTCTTCCCGCCCTGCAGTGATCGCAAAAATCGCTTAATGGAGCTTTAAGAGAGAAAAATAAGCACAGATGTCTATGTTTTATTCCTGAGCTATGAAGTGCAAAAGTAAAAACATACTTGTGGGATATAAACATATACCTAAACTGGGGCAGTGAGAGGAATGCTTTCGGAAACGATATCATCCTCCTTTTATGTACAGAAACATCTGAATAACAACATCCCTGGGGTGCGACAGTGAAATGGAGGCCACTTACTGTACAGTCATGCTCCAGCACACACATATAAATGCACACACCCACCTTTGAGTAATGCAGTAAGGATGGCAAGGTCAATGTCCTGATGTCCCTCCGACCCCATCCGGAAAACTGTTATCTGAGAGAGAAAGAGAGAGAGAGAGAGAGAGAGAGACAGAGACAGAGAGAAAGACAGACAGCAGCAGAGAAAGAGTGAGAGACAGGTGCATTAATTCTACACATGGCAAATTGTTTGAATAGTTTACATCTATTGACTAAATGTATCAAGGCTTGTAGTATAAAAAAAATCAGTCATATACTGAGTTAGAATGCACTCATTTGCTGGATTAGGCTGCTTCTCTAAAAACACTGCGGCCGAGGTCTCAGAGGGGGAAGAAGAGGAGAGAAGAGGAGAGGAGAGAAGAGGAGAAGAGAGGTATTGCTCTGATCTAATGTACTGAATTTCCTCTCCAGACTCCTCTTCCATTCTCTCTTGTGCAGAGAACTCCACAAAAACTCTCACATGCAGCATGTTCACTGTAACAAGGGAACGAGGGGTTTCGCTTAGAAGGCAACAGAGGAGAATGAGAGTAAAAACATGACAAAGAGAGAGATCAGATGAATATGAACTAATGGTGCTTCCCATTACGAAGAACATTTTTCTTTTGCTGTGTCAAAAATTTTTTGGATTAGGATTTATGGAAAATATTTTACTCTAAGGCCAGTTTAGGTCTTCCTCTGTGTGGTCTGACATGTCTTTTAGCTGCATTTTTTATATCCTGTGTGAGATGAACTAGTGGTGCGATGAATGAGAGCCAAAGTCAGCTGAGTGGGAAATGGGGCAGCCTTTATGGATTATTTATTTTTTTGTCGAATATAGTGCATGCACACATTAACGTGTGGGTATACATGCTCATATGTGTGCATGTGTGAAGGGCACCTTGTGGGAGCCGTGTACGAGAGAATGCGTGTTCTGAATGCCTGACAAGCTATTCCCATAATCCTTCCATCCACCCATCTATCTCCTCCCACCTCCCTCTCCTCCCTGCAGCCCATCTCCCTTCCCATCTCCCCCTCTAAATGGCATCATTTCATGGAGCTCCTGGAATCTGCAGGCTTTGCTGCTGCAGCTTTCCCTTGGGCAATGCTGTAGGATAGCCCTCCCCTTTCTCTCTGTATCTCTCTCTACTTTCACACAATCTAAATGCAAAAAAGTAATTCACTTCACATTGATGATTTACAGTAGCTATTATGTTGGCTCATTCATCATTTGTATACCACATGCTGATGACATGTTGGCTCCTCCCTGAGAGAGAAATTGGGTGTGAGACATCATGTAAAGCCTGAGACCTGAGCCATGCATCGTAAATGCAATCACTAATAAGGGAAGTGTGTGTGTGTGTGTGTGACCGTTTCTATCTGCCTGGGTAATCAAAGGGCTTTCTCCAGGTGAAATAGGAGTACTATGGGATGTGAAGATATCGATTGAGGTCTTCATCAGCAGGGACACCAAAGACTCACTCGTGTAATGTGTGATTTCATGTGCTTGTCTGAGTTAAGTTATAGTGTGTGGTTGTGTGAGAATGTGTGTGTGTTTGAAAGGTGTGGCCAGTGGCTAGATTATTATTTCCTAGAATGCATCTTTGCCTTCACTCTAATAGATGTTAACAACACATTTCAGGAGCCATCTGTTTAACACACAAATGCAATACTATGATCTAACCAAATTTGTGTGTGTTTAAAATTGTGGTTTGTTTTGTGTGTGCTCTTACGTAGTGACTCTGAAAGGTCAAACTTAATGCATGCAACAAGATCTTGTTTTTTTTGTGAGAGAGAAAGGGTAAGGGCAGATGTGTATAATTTTTAGGGGTGTGCTCATGGGCAAGCCTAATTTCACCCAATCAGTGCAGATTCTTATTTTGGACAGTTCTTCATTACACCCTGTAGTTATCATTATAGCAGAATGGACACACACACACACACACACACTCACACACTTACACACATACATGGTTTGTGGAGTAAAGATGGATGACAGTGTGAAAGAGGAAAGATGATGATTACAGAAGATGTTTGCCATTGTTTCCTTTCCCTCCCTCCAGGCCTCTCCACCTGTACCTCCACTCCATTTGTTCTACCCATCATCTTTCTGACCACCCGCCCCACCCACAACCACTAATCTCACAATAACCTCCCACTGGCTTGCTCCTCTGCCTCCCCCTCTCATCCTTGTCCGCTTCCTCCCTATTTCTTCCTGCCTCTTCCTTTCCTCCAATCACACCCCCAAGGTGACCCTGTGGATATGCACTACCTGTTATAATAGAAGCTCTACAGTACAGAGGCTAAGCGACATAACCGCTATGACAACACAAGGTTGCTAATTTAATCTCAACAATCCCACAGAGAGTCATCAATAAGTGTGTGCAAAGGTAAACAGACAGCCCCCCCCCCAAATCTATTTTTGTACATCTTGTACTGGCAAAGGTGCTCTCAAGTACTTACTGTGAGCAAAAATGTAGTCTTTTTTTTAACTCATGGCATAAAATCAGCCATCTGTTATGCGTTGTATTTTTGATGTGTGGATGATAGCTGTGCGTGGTTAATGTTGTAGTTTAAAATATCTTAAATTCTGAAAGCATTTTTGACCTTTCTCTGCCTCTACACTGACAGTCATCACCTCAGGGGTCAACATGCAAGAGACAGGGCACTCCATCTCTCTGTTGACAAGAAAAGAGGATAGAGGAAAAGAGCGGGAACGATAAGGAGAGGGAGACAAGCGGAGGCAGGGATTTGGAGGACAGACGAAAGACAGCAGGAAAGAGGAAGCATGTGCAAAGCAAAGGAAGACAGGAGAGAGATTTTGTGTCGACAAATAGAAGACAGATATAAGATATGACAAAAAAGGAGGCAGTGCAATGTTTCCCAGTGTGACTGTCAGAGGATTCCCATATCTACAGAGATGCTAAGCTACATGCTTAGAGGATCAGAAATTTGCTCTTCACGCTGCAGTGAGCCAAGCTGATTGGAAAACATTCATCTTCATTTAACAGGCAAAGACCCTGCTGATGCTACTACATGGACATGCACGTACATACAAGACACATGGCAGACATCACAGCACATACATATGAGAATACACACACACACACACACACACGCAGTCCATGGAGCCTTTCAAAGCATCTAGTTCAATTAGGCTGCGGAGAAATAAGCAATAGAATAATAACAAAGTAGGGAAATAGGTAAAATAAAATAAAAATAAAAGTTGTTCTATTCATGAAAGTTTAAACTGATAAACTTCCCTGCTGATAATAAACCCAGGTTTTGTCTCTCTTCCAGTATATGTATCTGTTTGATAACTCTCTACTGCACCTCAGTTTTACATTTGCTCTCCACCCAAACCACATTAGCTTTCCCTTCTTACTTCCTGTCTCATTTCCTCCCACCCTCCACCACACTCCCTCCATCTGTCCCTCACCCTCTCCCTCTCTCTCATGGTCCATTTAAGTCGTTGTTTTGCTCTTCTCATATTCCTCCCACTCGTTCTTAGTCTATCTCTTGTCAGGGAGGTGGAGGGAAATTGCGGATTGGTGGTTCCTCCTCAATATTTAATCCGAATTAAACATATAAGGACTATTCTACACTCAATTATTCATATCAAGCTGGGAGATACTAGGACAGTCATATTGAATCCCCCCTCACAGAGCATGGAACTCAGAGAGAGGCACTTCTCTTTTGATTAGACCGAGAATTGCATTCACAAATTTTTAGCAAAAAAAGAGCTACGTGACAACAGGCCTTAAGATTATTTGAAGGCACTGGTTCTCACGCAGCCTGAAGTCTTTTCATTGTGCTTGTTTGACATTCATATGAATGTTCCACCTTTTGCGTAGAAGGATAAAAGAAACTAGATAAGTGATGCGCATATATGATATAAGATAATTACCCTTATCATCCACACAAATTGATATAAATGTGGCCTATGCTTTCTTTTACCATTCCCTTTCATTACACTCATCACACTCACATTATCTATATACTTTACATCTGTTACCCTTTAGTAAAACCCAAGAGCTACCACATTATTCATTGCTTAGCTTCACAATTATTTCCACTCCCTCCTCCTTGGAACCTAATAGTCTATCATCTATCAGAACATATTTTTTTCACAGGGAGATGAGCCAGCACATTCCTAAATTAGACCAAATTAAAGCATAAAGCAGATAATCGGGGCTACTGTTTGTAGCTGCAAAAAGCACTTCTCAGATTTATAATTTACTACCTAACCAACTTCACAGTCATATATTAATGATAAAATTCATCATGTGGCATCTTGAAATGAGAATTTTAGTGAAAAACAACTATGAGGCCTGTTCCACTTGGTAAAACAAAGATAAAAACATAAAACAGAGGTACACACGTTTATTGCCACATGATATAAAGCATGAACAACCTGAGAATGATAAACAAAGGAGAGGTAACAGGGAAATAACTGAAGCACAAAATGCCAACATGAATAAACCAACATGCTGAAAATAAGGAAAAAGCAAGACACAGGCTTTCTTTAGTCTTCCTCCTTCTCTTCACTTGCCCTCTTAAGCAGACACACACACACACTCCCTCTCTCTTACATTTTCCCAGCCAGTCACCTTTAGTCTTTCTCCTTTCCTCCTACTCTTTAGTTTTCCTGCTGCAGAGCGAGAAAAATGAAAGCAGCACAGGTATCCTGGCACACAGACAAACATAGACTTTCATCATCTCTCTTTCACATACACTTCCCCCCTTTCAGGTGGCTGCACTGACCCAGGTTGAACCCGCATTTGCTGCCAGTGTGAGTTAACATAACAGTTTTGCGACCCTGCTCTTAACCTAAGTGTTAACATGGATTTGACACTACTTGGCTTTGGTAAACAAGGGTAAACACAAGTGTCTATAATTGCTTTTGGATTGTGGTACAGGCACTATATAACTAATATATGTTTGCTGCATTCCTACAGTAAGTATTAGCCGCAACATCTAGACTTCCCAAGTGTTAGTTACACTCATGTCATCTGTAGAAATATTTAAACATGATTTTAGAAAGAGTGTATTAATATTTCAAAAGGTGACGAAATAAATAAAAGTAATTAACCAATTCCCTTGCAATGCCAGTCAGGTTTAATCTCTAGTGTAAATACTGCAGCCAAAAAAGATCAGTATTCCTGTGAAGCCAGCTTCTGTCAGCACAGGTAGGCCTATAAGTGCCCACCACAGTATCACCATGTACATAGTAGTTAGCTTACACGATCAACAGTCTGTTCACCATGTAGGACAATGTTTTGACCTTCTTGTGTAAGAGGGGATAACAAAACAAATTTAGAAAATGTGTTCCTACCAGACCCCACCAAGGAACCTACTGTAGTAGGCCTCACGAGCGGACCCAGCGCACACAACACTCGCTATCCCCAAAATTGTCCTACAGCATTTGAATATTTGAGGTTTAGACAGTAGTTTAGTCTGATCAGGGATCAAATGAGAACCAGTGAGTGAGAGCCAAAACAACATTTATCACCAGAGGTCCAAAACAGGATTTCTGGAGGACTCCCAATCTTCTTACTAATCTTACTGACATGCCATACTTATACAAAAACAGTTAACCACACAGGGAAATGTGTTTGGTCCACTTTTTTAGGGTCTTGTGCCGAGCAACAAGAAGTGTGTTTTGGGCTTTGCATAGGACAATGGGAACACTCTGCCAATTTTTTTTTCACTTTCTCCCTTGCAGTTACTCCCCTCCATTCTCACACACATACACACTCCAGTCCGTGGCTGATCGTGATCAAGAGGGAACCCCTGTGATACCTACCAGCCTGATAAAGAGGAGACAGTCAGTACAGAGGTGCCACATCTATCTTTCTCTTTCTCCAACAACCATAATCAACTTTGGCTTTTTGAGATTCTCTGCATGGTGCAATGGAAGACTTACTGTAAAATGAATAGAATACTTATCAGAAAGTATATTATCAAAGTTTTATGTCACTGGTAAATGGCATTGTTTGGGTTATAAGCCACAGGTGGCTATTTCTTTTCACATTCATACATGTTACATGAAGTACAGCATCCTGGATATAAAGACCTATCCCACTGTTGCTCCAGCACTCTGCTATCTGTGATCATACAGATTAATTAGACAAGGCACGATAAAGAGCATTTTATTCCTTTGGCAGTGAATGAATTATCAGAAAAAAATATCTAATTGAACTGTAAAATGCAGAAATATTACTGCAAAGTTGAAACAGGGTTGTGGACATTCAGTGCTCAGTTTCAGTATGGCAATGGTAATAGTTTTGTAACTTCAGAGAAAGGCAGCATGTGATTATCTGGCCTCTACAGCTGCTCCTGCTGAATGATTTACACCCCATTGTTGTGCTCTGGTATTGTGTTCAGAAGATCCATCAATGTAAGCATCAGTCAGCCACTGGAAGCCCACTGAGGATGCAATCAATCCACTTTCATGCTGGACAACCATGACCAGTGCTGGGCTGCCTGCAAAATATTACATGCACTCTGTGTGTGCATATTGTGTGTGTGTGCTTATGATTTTTTGTGTGTTACAATTATCATAATTAAAACACCTAATAAAATGATTAGCATATAGCATTTTTACAGTGGATACACTGTGGACGATACATGGTAATTTCAAACATCCCAGCCGCCAAGTTTCAAGATCCTAAACTGGATTCTAAGTCAGCACTTTTACTTCAGAGTTGGGCGAATATAAGGCTTGGGTGTGTATGTGTGTATGTATGCTACTAATTACCAATATATTAGCCAAATGCCACTGGCAGTCAGCAGTACCAACATTAACTCATCTGGCAAATATTCCCTTCCCTTACAAAATACATTGTACACTATGTTCAAAGTGAGTTGAGGCGAGAGCAACCAAGTAGTAAATAAGTTTCTATTGCTGCAAAACTAAGATACAGAGAAAGCTGCTGGCTGTTTGTTTGCAGCACAGAGGATGTGTTACACTGTTATCTTTTGAATGAGTGTAAGTAAGCTGTGTGTGGGTGTTTGCATGTGCACTATGGTAAATGGACTGTACTGTAATTATAAAGTGCCTTTCTAGTCTTTCGACCACTCAAAGCGCTGTACACTACATGCCACACTCACCCATCCGCACACATTCATACACTTATGGC